GGGGGGGGGGGGGGGGGGGGGGGGGGAGGTTGTTCTCCGGAAAAAAAATTTTCCGGGAAAAAATTTTTAGATAGGGGCCCCTAAAAAAAAATTTGCCCCGGGCCCCCGCCAACCTCTCGGCGGCCCTGAGTGGCCGGCTTGAGGATCTATACTGATGCCTGTAATAACATAACTGGTTGAAATCGATCAGACTAGCTTTCCCTCTATTCTATTATTCGCATACCCTTTTTGATTTGGAAAACCATGGAAATTGGGCAAACGCTAGGAAAAATCAAGAAAATTCGGGCGGATTTATCAGAAAATAAGTTAAATTCAAGTAATTTCATTACAATCCTCCATAAAAATTCGGGCAAACTTTCAACTGCCCCCTGGGGAACCGTACGCCTATGCATTTGAACAAACGAAATCATACTGCAATATGATATTGAATATTTCCTCGTGTGAGCCCCTCTTGCAACTACTGTAGTATCGCAATAAAAATATTGTTGCGAGTTGCAAGAAAAACAGTTTCCACTGTAGATGTTTCCTACAGTTTCTACGTACAGTTTCTACATATGTTGCAGCCACTAATTAACTAAATAGTTCAGCCTCAAAGCTCATCGCACTGCACGGGGATGCTGGAAGTTGCTGAGGGCGACGGGTGCGATTTGTTATCAAAAGGCATATTTTTAAAAAATAGTAGGCAAAAACAAAAATCAAAGTGCACTTTACCTATACTTATAGCCAGGAGTGGAATTTTTATACCAAGAGCAGTTGCTGTGGTGGCAGGAATCCAACCACCGGCCCTGCTGGTTATAATAAATGTATAAAAAATCCACCGAAATTTCCACCTACACTATGAATCCTAGCCTGCGCGCAGACTATATGAATCCCTGCAAACTAAATTAGTTATATCCATGGTCCTGGCACTGCAATAGAACCTGCAAAATGTATTCCAGGAAAAAATGGGTTGCAAGTTGCACGGGAAAATTGCCTCGTGTAGCCGTGTAACATGACCCTGACGATTGGTCGTATTTCAGAAAACGTATTTTTAATTAACATGCCGATTATTAGCCTGAAAAGTTCATTCAGCCCTTTAAAATGAGCTCGTTTGAAATGGGCCACTATTAAGTGACCACAACTAAACTGTGCATGAAGACACAGCTAATGGGCAATTCCAAGCTTTTAATTTTTGCGCGAAGAGGGTGACGGGAAGTAAGGGTATCACATTGCTGATTATGCTTAAAAAGTTCAATAAAAACCGCCGAAACAACCGAAATATTTCCATATTTACAAGTATAAGCTATCACTCCGTGTTTACGCGGCCACCATTTTTCTTTTTTAGCATAGTCAGCAATATGATACCTTACTTCCCATCCCCTGCATGCATAAACTAAAAGCTGGAATTGCCTATGCAATTAAGGTTGTTTTCAAAGTCAAAACCTCGACCTGTAAGCGCGTAAAGCACGATGGACATGCATGCAATATTTAACAATTATTCGCCGAAGGCGAGGTGATTATCGGTGAATAAAAACCGAGACGAAGTCGAGGTTTTTATTCACCATAATCACCGAGCCTGAGGTGAATAATTGTTTTAGTATAATTCCATAGGTGATTATTTGGAAAAAATTTTAAAATGCACCATTTCTTCGTCTTTCAATTGACAAAACGGCTTCGGCCGCCATTTTGAAAATCGCTTAGGTGATTATCGCGTAATAATCACCTCAACGGTAACCAATCAGCGTAGAGAATTTTCAATAATCACCTATGTAATTATACTAAAAGTTGTTAACCGCTTGTTCCAAACTTGTTGACAATTTTGGACAAGCAGTGCGAACACCACTTGCTGACAGCTTGTTGGCAGACTTGCTTACAAGATTTGAGATTTTTGCGTCTGTAGAGGATGCTACTCACTGGAACTTTAGGGAGAACAGTTAGAAGTGATAGAGCAATCCTGTGAATAGAGTTAATTTAGTAAATTTAGTTAGTTTAGTTTAGAGTTCCTCTTGCAGTAACACTGAACCAAATAGCGATCATACATTGTACTGGATCTCAAGGAAGAACAGTTTAGAACTGACACAGCTGTCCAGTATGAATAATTTTAGTTTTCCTCTTGAAGTAACACTTAACCAAACGGAGATCGCTTTTGCTGGATCTCAAGGAAGAACAGTTTAGAACTGACACAGCTGTCCAGTATGAATACATTTTATTTTAGTTTTCCTCTTGTAGTAACGCTTAACCAAACGGATATAGCTTGTATTGGATCTCAAGGAAGAACAGTTTAGAACTGGAAACAACATAAATAAAGTTAGTGTAGTTTGGTCAGTCAATGAGTAGAAGTTTACACTTTGTCGCATTTATTTTAGTTTTGTCATTACAATCGAGTTCCGTGCTCTATCTCCCAATGGCGTGTTATTTATGGCGGCGAATA